TTGATATGTTAATAACCTTTTCAAACAAGAATGAGCAAATAATATTGATATAGAGGATGCTAGATACTCTCTGTTGTGTTGCAGGCATCATGTAATGTCTCATCTGATGTCTCAACCATGCATTACTTAATAGAACAAAAAGTACAGTAAGCCTTAAAAGCTATCAACGGTCTAATGTAAAAGAAAATTATAATTCCAAAGGATTTCATATGATTGCCATGTTTATAATAGTTGTTTTTATTTGCAGTTATGTATTTAAGCCACTCTTCAAATCCCTTCTGCCTGTCATCTTACTGAGTAATTAAGCACAACCATATGACTGGCTGAGTACATCCATTTTTTTCCAGTAATAAGCATATAACTGTTTCATGGATACTATGATACTACACATTGTATGAAGCCAGAATTAATTAAATGTTGCATTGGACAAGTTGTTTCACAAGAGGTTTCATAATGACCTTCATAGATTTGTATAATTGAACACACTGGCCATTATACTGAGGGTTAGATATTTAGTAAGTGTTTAAAACCATACTTAGGTTTTATTGACATAGATTTTACAGAGGTATCAAACATTAACAGATCCTTCAGTGCCTCCTACTTTTGAAGATCTGGCCACTTCTTAAAATTCAGCCAAGTTACAAACTCCAACTTACTGTGAAGATACAGAAGTAAGTCAATAGTTTTCTACTTTTTTCTATTTTGGTAGTAGTGTTGCAACAGTAGCGGCCCAATCCACAAGCTGAGAACCCCTGACCAAAGGGTGTGGATAGGCATTTAATTTTTAGCAGAAATACCACTTTCCTGCTACAAACTGCGGGTGCACAGGCATTCGTAGACTCATAGCATCACGTGCTTTCTTGCAGAGGAAACCTAGCAGATCTGCACTGCCTCCTCATGCTCTCCCCAGACCAGGGTGACCTTTTGATCACCTTCAGGTGCAGGGAGCATTTCCGTGCTGCTCAACTTCTCCTGATCGCGGAGGAGTTGAAAGCATCTTCTGATGCATGATAAAGTGCAGTTAGCTTTGCTGATGATTTCATCACACTGACGACTCATGTTCATCTTGGAGTCCACAATGACTCTGAGATCCCTTTCCGCTTCTGTGCTGCTGAGAGGTTCACCTCCCAGTCAGTAGATGTGCTGGATATTTTTGCGCCCTAGGTGCAGCACTCTGCACTTGTCTTTCTTGTACTGCATCTTATTGTGTACTGCCCACTTTTCCAACCTGTTCAGGTCTGCCTGCAATCGTTCCCTACCCTCCAGAGTGTGCACTTCACCCCACAATTTAGTATTATCCGCAAACTTGAACAGAGTCCACTTCACGCCCACATCCAAGTCACTGATGAAGATATTGAAGAATACAGGTCCAAGGACCGAACCCTGCAGGACCCAACTACCCACATCCTTCCAGGTTTATACCGACCCTTCTACTGCCACTCTCTGGGTGTGACTGCTAAGCCAATTTGCCACCCACCAGACCATGTGAACATCTATGTCATAGCCTCTTAATTTACGAGAATAGGATGAGATACCGTATCAAAGGCCTTGCTAAAGTCCAACAAAACAACATCCACCTGTACTCCTCTGTCTAAGAATTTTGTAACCCTGTCATAAAACGAACCCAGATTGGTCAGGCATGATCTACCTGCTATAAAACCATGCTGGTTGCCCTGCTGCATTGTTTTTCCTGCTGGACTCCCACAAATATGATCCTTCATAATCTTTTCAAAGGCCTTTCCAAGGATGGAGGTGAGACTGACTGGCTATAATTACTTGGATTCTCCTTCCTCCCCTCCTTGAAAATAGGAAACGCATTGGCCCTTTTGCAGTCCTCTGGGATCTGACCCAAGCGCCACGAGTGCTCAAACAGCCGTGCTAGTGGTTCTGCTGTGACATTGGTCTGCTATGACACTGCTCCTTCAGTACCCTCAGATGCAGCTCATCCAGGTCTGCTGACTTGAACATATCCAGTCCATCTAAGTGATTGCACCAAGTCAGCATCGACAGTTAGTAGGCTGGTGTCCCTCTGATGCCCATCTAAGAACCCATTAGGAGACTTATCTTGAGCCATGTTCAGGCACACTGAGGCAAAAAACTCATTTAATAGCTCAGCGTTGTCCCTTCTGTCTGTCACTAATTGCTCCTCCTTGTTCAGTAGGGGTCCTGTGCTGCCCTGCGCCTTCCTTTTGCTTCCTACATACCTAAAGAAAGACTTTTTGTTGTCTTTAATTTGTGTTGTCAGCCTCAGCTCTGTAGTTGCTTTGGCCTTTCTAACTGCCTCCCTGCAAGTGCGGGTCAAATAGGTGTACTCTTCCTTGGTAGCCCCCCCCCTGCTTCCACCACCTATATGCCTTCTTTTTTGCCCTTAGGCTTCCCTGGATTTCCCTGTTTAGCCAAGGAAGTTTTTTGGCTTCTTTCCCCCTTTTCCCTCATATTGGGATAGTCTCCCTCTATGCCTGGAGGATCACTTCTTTTAGGAATGACCACCCTTCCTGGACTCCCATCTCGCCACTACTCTTCTCCTGCAATGCGTCATTGTACCTTTTAATTGGTCCCCTGATTTGATTCAGAGATTCAGCCACCGAATTGGGATGAATCTCCTCTGAATCGAATCACCACCCAAAGCTTTGTACAGTCTTACTATTTAAGATTGACAAAAAGGATAGGTAGTTGTTAAGCAAAAGATTAAGGTAACGTTCCCACAGTATAACTGAACAACAAATCAATCGTTGTAGTTTATTCAGTGGAGAGCTTTGATTTTAAGTGTGTGTACCATGAGCGTGTTCTATTTAATAACAACTTTTTGTTGTATTCCCAAATAAAAAACACTTAAGGAAACTTTAAAGTCATTGAAACTTTCACCTTAATTGTTTCAGTGATGATGGGGAGGTTGGCTTTGGTAGGCTGGTTGGTAGGTATTTGCCTGGCAGTGTCAGACTATGTAGACTCCTTCCACAAAAGATATCTTTTCTTTATTTGTGAATTTGGACAGTTAGGTACGTTCACTGAGTGATTTGATTATTGATTTATGCCCATCAGATGCTTCATATCTACATCAGCAACAGACACAATTTACTGCCCTTGATGACCAATTAAATGTACTGATTTGGGGAATTAAAAATGCTAAGTTATATTTTAGTGCTGTAGGATATCTAATAGCTATACCCAGCCAGTACAATTTTCATTTATTTGAGAAGGCTGTCAGCTTCCTTATGCTTTGCTGTATCATAGTTGTTTCTTATGCCTGTAGGTTGCTGGTGATTGTCTACATGTATCGAACCTACTTTAGCTACATAGAATTGGTTATTACTAGAGGTGCATCAATACTTCGGTCCATATCGTATCGGCACTGATAAAAGGAAAATTGCCATAATCAGCAATTGGCTTTATTTGGCTGATGTGGCCAATAATATCGCCAATAAATGCCGCGTGCATGCATGAAGCCTCAGCATGCACTTGGCCAGTGCGGCAGTTTGCAAAGCAGCGTCTGGCTGGTAAGTCTGTGGGGGGAAGGGGCGTGAGGGGGCAGATTGAGGCCCCTGTGGTAAGGGAGGGAGTGGGGCTGGGGCAGGGGTTTGGGCAGGTGTTGCCCAGCTAGGATGGGGCACGGGACAGAGCCGCGACATGGTCGTTCGGTGAGGCAGCTCCTGCTCACAGATCTGGGGGGCACACTCCCACCATGGCTCCCTTGCGGATGTGCATAGTGGCAGGACCTGCCCCACTTTTCCCCGCACTCTCCAGACAAGCCATGTGGCTCCATCCCACTCCCCGGCCTGGCTGGGAAGCACCTACCTCAGCCCCAGCCCCACTTTCTTCCTTACCACAGGGGCCTCGATCTGCCCCTTCTCCCCCAACAGACTTACCAGCTGTACGCTGCTCTGGAAGCTGCTGGGCTGCATATTGGCAGTTATGAGTAAGATTGTCCAGTGTAGATAGAGCTATTTTAAGAGGCTTCACTTCTTTTCTTTTCCTTTTTTTTTTTTTTTCTTTTTTTTTGACGCTTGGATTGACTTTTTGCGAATTTTCTCCAAAATGATTGTATGTGACATGTATAACTTAACAGACAAAGTATATTAATACTTTAATATTATTTTACATGAGTATAACCCAGGGGTAGGCAACCCCTGGCACAGGTGCCAGAGCATAGTACATGAAGGCATTTTTCTTGGCATGTGTGCTTTGAAGCAGATGGCAGGGAAGGAGCTGGGGCTGTGCTGCCAGGATTGGGTTCCTCTTGTCTCCGCAGCCATCCGCTCCTGGCACACCAATATCTTACAAGTTGAGGTTACAGGTATATTTGGTATAACCTCTTTCATTCGACTATCTCCATTTGCCAGGCATCTAGGAGGAAGCCCTGTTTTGAGCTGTTTGGCATGCCTACGCAGGGGAGTAAAATGTCAATGCATTCCTTTTTCTGGTCCTCACAGATCTAGGCTCAGGCACAGAGTAGCTGCTGTTCATGTCCTACTCTTTCTTTCTCAGGTGGGTTGGCTTTGCCTCTGCTGGCCGCCCCCCAAACACATAGTCTGTCCCGCTGGAT